ATTTGAAATTAATCATAAAACAGTTTAATCTACTAATGTTATAAATAGAATAATACGATTGACGTCAATTGTCTATTGACAACTCCGGTCGCGTTTTAGTCGCTCGAAAATGGTCGTAATTTTATTATTATTTTTTTTTAGCTCAATGGTTGAATATTTTCGGGTCAATTTTTTTTTTGGGTATGAATCGTTTAAAAAAAGAAAAAAATTCATGCGTATTCCCTATTATAAGAAAGGATACCTTCGTAAATGATTTAAGATACGGAAAGTCACGAAGGAAAAAAAATACTTGACCATTGAAAAGGAATAAAATGCCTTTGCAATTGAGTTGGCACGTCGCACTGAAGATTACTCTTGTCCTTGACGTGCCAATTCAATTACCGGGTACTATACAAAAACCAGTCTTACTCAGTGATTCCCATGACGATATTTTTTGAGCTTCTGGCTAGTTCTATCGCGGCCTCCAAACCGTTTGAGGTGGGCAGGCATAGGCCGCCTCCCGGAGAGCTTGAGGTCTTCTTTTTGGTGCGAATGGAGGAGACAGGCTGCGCTATGTTGCCCAGATCTGTCAGTCTGGAAGATATTACATATATTAGTAAGTACTGTTAGTAAAGGAAAGATTTGTATTTTGTATGTATTGATAACTCAAATACTGGGCCGATTTCAAACATTCTTCCACCATTTTAAAACGTTATCCCAGAGTAAGATAGGTTATGTTTTGTTATTTATTAGCTATTTATTAATTAAAGAGTCTGAGATCGACATGTGCGGAAAGAGGACACTGTTCCAGGTGTACTATCTTTGCTGCCAACCTGTGCTTGTGGTCGTCCCAGCGGCCGTAGCAGAGGTCGATGCCGCCTAGGAAGGCGACGCTCTGATCCACGCACACGATCTTCTCGTGATGCGCCCACAACAATACACCCACGCGTGCATGATCTGGGTGACGGATAACCTGCAATTTAAGGTATATTTAGTCAAATTGTACCAAAATATGGTCTAGCACCTTATATAGCCGTTTCACCTTAATATTTTCACTTTTCCTAGTAAGTACTCCTTTGCTATAGTAACTATTGATACCGAGCGCCATTTCTACTTCTTTATACAGCATCACAAATACTTTAACTCCTTGCGCCTGAAAAATTAAGAAAAAGCAATTTTTAACAAGAATAATAATAAAAGTGAATAATACTAGCTGTTCCCATGCGACTTTATCCACATGAAATTATAAAAAAAAAATTAATGTTCACATTTGTCAAATTATCAATTGCAAATGTCAAAATGACATGACCTGATGTCAAACCACGGCAACCTTTCTTCCTTGATGTTGGCAACAACTTATAGTCTCTTTCCCTCATTAGGGTTTTTATCCAAAAAATGTATCCCTAAGTTTAACGGCGTGAAAATATATAGCCTAAAGCGTGACGTAAGTGTAGGGCTATTTATTGAAACGGGTTATTCGAAAACATGTTGTGATTGCTGACATCTTAGGCAACAAAAAAGTGTGTGTTTACGTTTTATTATATTATATAGAAGTATACATTTACCGTCTAATACACTTACACGCTTAAGACGCGTTTTTGTATCGGTCCCAAGAAAATCGTCTTGAAGACAGGTGTCAATTTTATCAAGGGTTGAGTTTAGTACTTAGAGAGAAAGAGACAGAAATAGATCATAGACAATAAAAGATAGTTAAAAGTATTCCTTACCGCTTTCCTCTTTAGTATACAATCCAGTCGCCAATAATTGCCATTAAGTGCGGGCCGTTTCATATATATTTCTGGGCTGAGCCACCAGTCTGCGATGAAGATTTCTTCAGTCGCGAGTTCCATAGCATCCGCGACCGCGCACAGGTACGCCGCGCCGTCCACCAGCACGCCGACTGGCGTCGCCGGGCGCGGCGGCGCGAATGAATGGTGTACATTCGGATACGTGAAGTCACGAGCTGAACGAATGATAATGGAACGAATGAAAGAATGATTCCAAATTCAAAAATTGAATATGATTACGATCTAGGTATAGAATGAATAAAGCTTGCTACACACGCTTTTATTTGAACAGTCGTATCGTTTAGAACATCTAACGCGTGCTGGCTAAATTTTCTGGCATTATTGCTCTTATCTAAAGGCAATTGTCTGAACGATGAGATAAAACAGTGTGTGTGTGTGTGTGTGTGTAGAAACCTTTATTTCGCTTCGTAAGCGCTGCTTACTTTCAGATTAAAGGCATCAATTTTTTAATGGAATTTGGAATTTAAGAGTGGTCTTACAGTTTAAGATCTTCTTACATATTTAAATATCGTTTTCGTATTCGGCCGTAAAACACATAGAAAACCAGTTTGCTTTTAAGCTTTGTTATATTATAAATGCAAAAATTTGAATCCAAACGGCTGAATGGATCTGGATGATTTTTTAAATTCCGCTTGAACGGAGTCGCGGGCGGCAGCTAATAAAAAAAAAGAATATCATACCGGATTGATTGGCGACAGTCTTGAGGTAGGCCATCCATTCCTTGCTCTTACGTTTAGTCCAGCATTTGATGACCATCTGTCGACTCTGGTTTAATATTTGTAGACCGTGGTTCAGTCCAGTCGAGTACATCCCACTGGATACTTCAAAACTGGAAACCGATACATTTTAAAGATAAAACACTGCTTTCGTGTGCATTAAATATAAATTATATGATTTTTAACATTAAAACAAACACATATACTCACTTATCCTAATGCTGCGTGAAAAAAGGAAGGTAGAGTTAAATTTGACTAATATTGTAAATGCGAAAGATAGATGGATATTTATTAGAGTTCGTAGCCTAAATGACTGAAGGGATGTTGATGAAATTTGGCACAAATGTAGAAGATACCTTTGAATTTCATTATTATATGCAGACGGAGTCACGGGCGAAAGCTAGTATTTCAATATTTTAAACTGTTAAAGACGTTTAAAAGTTAACACGCCAGTTATCCAAGATTTAATTACTTGGAAACACCATGCATTATACTAATTCATACTTGCGAAAGTTTAGATGGATGGATGGATGTTAGGCTTTGTAGCCTAAACTGCTGAACGGATCTCGATGAAATTTGGCATATATGTTACTTTTTTTTTATTCCACGCGGACAGAGTCGCGGACGAAAGCTATAATAACTTTGTATAATATTTAGTAATCTAACTGACCCCTGATCGAAGAGCATGACCGCTTTAACGGCGCCGTCGGTTGGACGAATGTACCCGAAGAAGGTGTCCTTTACAAAAAGCCAGCGTTCTTGCCACTTGCCGCACACCAGGCCAGTGCAGCAGTATGTACATCTATTAATTATATCCTTTATTACAATAACAGAAGATAATGTGTTTTGCACATATGTATTTTAATAAGGCAAAAAAGGTGGTCATTCAATTCTTCTTTAGAAGGAAGAGGAAATTGAAAATTAAGAGTGTTACATTGGTATTACCTACCTTATTGATCTGTAAAATGCAAAAATATATTTAAATACGATAAGATTCAGGAGAATCTAATAGGAATTAGCAGGAAGTAGACTTGAACAAAAAACTCTGTGTTCCTTTACGGCATCCGCATATTATAAAAACTTTATTTTATTGTTTACAAATGTCAAATTGCAAAGCTTAAATGACAATAAAGGCCTTCCATTGGCTAACAATTATCGTTACCATGGCAATTTTACTTCTTTGCTGCATAAGCTTATGGTTGTCGTCCCTTTCCCGCACTAAAATTTAACTTAAATAGCGTGAAAAAGCCAATAGCGTGTCATAAATGTTTTTATTAAAATAACAATTATATAAAAATATACTGTAATTGCTCACATCCTACATAACAAGGTGTGTGTGTTAACCCTAAATTCCAGAGTATCCAATGTGAAGAAACGCTAATTAAAAAAAAACTACTGGACTAGTTTAGTTAAAAATATATGAGATTTTGATTTTAGTGTGTTTTGTGTTATTTCCTGCTAGAAAAAACTCCGTAGAATAAAACATTAGTAGATATAGTTTTAAAAAGAAAATTAGTATTGCGCTGGAGAATTTGGCGCATCACTAGATTATCGGCATAAACGTCCCGTCCCTATGACAGCTGTCAATGTCATAGAGACGTATTGCGCGTCATTTTGGCGGGAGTCACTTTAGTTGTGGGAGTTAATTACGTTAATACAATTAATCTATAAAAATATATAAAAAAAGTATGCGTACCTAACACACACCATGGTGCCGAGCAGGCCGAAGCAGTTGCAGCCGGCCTGGCCCGGCTTGGTGGAGCCGGTGCGCTTCTGGATCATGCCCTCCTTGCCCTTCACTCCCAGCTCTGACACGAATGACAGGTTTGACACCTCCAGGAACTTTACCTGAATGAAAAATAATTTACTGCATTACCACAAAATATTCTTAGACACTATTTAAAATAAGATGTATCATCACTTTGTAATACTTGTTATTTGTTGTATCAGCTTAGCTAAGCACTTTATATAAGGGTTGACATATGTATAAGTATTTGAAAAAATATCAACTTTTACGGTGTTTTTAGTTTTAATTTTTTGTAAACAGCGCCATCTATATTTTTCATATCGCACTTATAGTGTTGTCCAAATTTAATTAGATGGCGTTGTACGATACTTTTCGCCAACAATTTTAACAAAAATTAATTTCAAAGGATGATTTGTGTGTTTTGTTTCATTTCATTACTTACCGTTTCATGATGATTTCTATATATAGATATATTGAGTAAATTATATAAATATTCTTCCAATTGCTTCATTCTTAACTGGATGCCTTCGTATGTTACCATCACCTCGGGTTTCTTCGGAAACCTGAAAATGTTAGGTTAGTTGTTAAGTTTATAAAATTACATATTATCAGTTAAGTTTGTTTATAGTTTACCGCAGATAATTATGTATTTAATAGGTAATAAGCTTTATTTTTACATGATCTGTATTACCTAGGCAACGCACCCTTTCTCTTTCGTAGCCGTGGCTCCCTTTTCTTAGAACTGCTCGCTACAGCATCGAGTGCTATTTTTTCCGCTTTTTCCTCCGTATTCACCGTGTTTTTGAAACTAGCTCGTCTTGAT